GGGTGTCTGTGCAGGGCCAGGGGTTGGACTGGATGGTCCTTGTGGGTCCCTTCCAGCTCAGTGATACAGAGCTGATGCTTTCCAGCCCTGGGGTCTCTTAGAATTTAACATACACACCAAACATCACACTGAGGTTCACAATACCCATCACCACAGAAAACACTTGCATTAACAATATCCTTACTTTGTTAAGAAAAAAAATTAGAAGTCAAAAGGACTAGACTCAGAAAGCTCTCTGTCTCTTTTGCACACTGCCAAGAATATAATCTCTTTTGCCAAGAGCCACCCAAAGTTCAGTTTACAGGGCACAGCTTCTCCTACTGAACTCCAACTACTCCCCACCATCAAGAAGCCTTTTACCCCCAGCAGAGGCTCCAGCTCTTTCAAGAGGTGTGATGAAAGCACACCCGACCCTGGAAAGTAAAATCCCAAGGAACACACATCCCTAAACAAGATGCCCCCTGCCCAACACCCCCAAAGAAGATTCCCAGCCCACACAGACCTGAATACACGATATCGGTGTCCCAGTAATTAAAAGCAGCAATCCAGGCCTCAAATTTGTGAGCTTCCCACTGGCTCAGGACATGCACAGAAGGAGAAGATTCATCTATGGAGAAAAGGTTCAGCTTCCCCTCTGAATCACTGCTGATCACTCTCAAAGGACATCCACTACAGGGGATACAGGGAAAACATCAGGAATTACTGAATCGTGTTTGATTCGGCTGAACGCTGACAGGAACTGGCAGCACAGTGGCAGGAATGACACAGTCATATGATTCTTTTCAGCTTCAGCCCATCCCACCCTAAAATCAGCTGCCCCAGTGACCACCACTCCCTGATCTCATGGGGAGCCACCACTCACACCCATGGGAGGGAAGGAACCACCCTCGGCTCTGTCCTTCTCTGAGATGCAAAACTGGACTTCTCACATGCTTGAGATTACATCAGTAAACAAATTCCACGTGAAGAGTGATTTTTTTTTTCCTCCAAATTGGACTGGCAAGGACCTTTCAGAGTCTCTCCCCTCTTCTGGAGTACAAAGAAATGTTTTATTCCCCTGCTATCGAAGCACTGGCTGATCCTGACCTTTCCTGCTCTCTTCCTGTGCCACAGTACAGTTGCAGTTTCTGGACACAGTGACCTTGGAGCACTGGCAAAAGTTCTGCAATTCTCAGTGCACAGATTTTCTGACATTTCCTGACATGAACTAAGTCCCTTTTATTTAGTTGCTTGCAACTGCAGGTACTGCCCTGATGGCTCAGGGCTTCTTTCCAGTTCTACATGGAATGTTAATTACACGCTGAATCTCCCAAATTTCCACTTAAGAGATACAGGGTCACCACTTTCTACAGAGAAATTATTGGTTTCTAGGAGAAAGTATTGGTCTCTCAAGTGACAAAAGTGACAGGCTTTAAAGGCACTTTTCATCACTGCAATAATCAAATGTAAGGAAGGACAAAGTCTAGCTGGGAAATCTACTTATTCATTAAACAACATGCACAGAAACAGCTTTAATTAGCAAAACCTACTAAGTATTTGCCCTAGAGCATTAAGCAATGCCTGCCTGATCCCCTCAGTTTCCAGCCTCACACCAAAGGCACCACTCTCTGTTTGCACTCACAGGACACATTTACCTCCCCTCAAGGTACAGCTAATTCAGGGTATTTCTTGCAGTGATGCCGTTTCTGAAATCTCATGTATGAGAGTTTGGGAGGAAGGAGCCACTTCCAAATCAGTTCTCTCCTGTTTCTCACACATGTTTAAACTTCCTACATGTGCTATTAGTAGCAGTTCTTAAGCAGAACTTCACATTGAAATTTCAGCTGTTCTAAAAGCAGAGTTGAAACCAGTGGATCCATCTGCATCCCATTCCAGTCTTTCCTTTTAGCAAAGGCAACAGAAGACACGTCCCTGGCTCACCTGCTGCCATTCCCCAGAGCACAACCTCACATTTGTTGCTGTTTTAGCCTCTGCTCTTGTTACAGTGGCCACAGTACATGTCCGTGTTCCTTTGTTACCCTTGCTCGGGAAACAGCAACTTCCAGAGCAGGACCAGGGACACTGGGATGGAGAAAGTCAAAACCACTAAAGACTCATTCATCCAAGTCCTCAGCTTCTCCTGAAAGTTGTCCCCCACACACTGAGCCAGCCTTCACTCCCCTCCTCACCACTGCTCCCGTCCCGTGGACCAGTCCAAGGACAAGGCCAGTCGCTGTGCGCCGAGATCCACCCTGAAGCGTGGCTCCAACATGCAGCTGTTCTTCTACTGGAAACAAAAGGAATGGGTTAAGGCTGGGAAGACAGCAGGTCTGTAACAACGGGTGTACTGCTTATTCCCACTGCTTATTCTCTCTTTTCCAGAGACTGGTAAGCAGGAGGGTCCCACAGAACTAGATAATCACCCAGTACCAGCTGAGGGGCAGACATGCCCACACAGGATCCCACCCTTCTGCTGCCCATCTCCTACCAAACCACCTCTAAACTCTGCTTCCTCTCAGGGAATGATGAAGTGCAGGAGAAATGACAACCTGACTGTGGGATTCCCTTACAGACTTTGCTCTCTGAGAATGGTTCTGATCACTCCCTACTCACCACAAAAGAAGCCCCACTCCAACATTCCTCCTGGCTTCTAACAGCTTTGCACCTTCTGCTGTTTACCAGTTAATCCATCCTTGTTCTCGAGTGACAGTTCCAGGGTTTGTTTCTGCTCCCCTCCTGCCCCTCATCTCCCACTGTGCAGGTGGGTAGAGCCCAGCCTGACTCTCTGGTGCCATGAACGAGTTCATAGAATTTATGACAAACGTCAGAAGACAAAACAGGTGTTTAAAAAGCCAAGCAGCCTGAGAAAGCCATGGAAACCATCCAGCTTTCCTGCACACTGCTAGTAAATATAGGAATGTAGCAAATCTGGGCTAACACCAGCTACAGCAGCAGCAGGCCTTGCAGCCACCCACCTCACTTCCAGTCAGGTGGCAAAACTCCACGGCGCCTGTGGAGTTTGCAATGCCAACCATGGGATGTTCTGCAACGGGAACGTGGCACCTAAAAGACCAAATTAAAGTGGTGAATGTCCACAGTTCTTCTATTTTAGGAGGAGAGCAGAGTCATAACTTTTATTCCAAGATGCACAAGGAAAAGGTACGTGACCAAAAAGATCTCATGGTAAGAAAATCTAAGGCTCCTCACGTTGCCACAAGCCTGTGTGGAGGGGATTAGATGTAGGGGAGATGTACTATATGCCATTATACAAAAAACCGAGGTACAAAATCACTGACCAGCAACAAATGAGCAGAAGGTGCAACACAGCAATGAGGCACTCTTTGCTCACTGGAACAAACGAGAAAGTATTTCCCTCCAGCAAGTCAGGGACCATTTGGGTGGTAAATATTACTGCTGCTGCCATGCTAAGAGCCAAGAGAGATTCCCTTGGAGCCCCCGCTGTGCACCAGGCCTGGCTGGGCCAGGATGTCCAGGCTGGCACCAGCCCTGGCCCGTCCAGCGTTACCATTTGATGTCCAGGACAGCGGCCGTGTCGATGCGCTGGATTTCGGTCAGTGGGATGTAGGGCTGCTCCTCGTTGTAGTGGTACAGGTAGAGGCGCCCGGTGCGGTCACAGGCCCCGTTAGAGCTGCCTCGGGAATCGCTCTGTGCCAAACATCGGGAAGAACAGGGCGGGATTAGCCGTTCCTGCCGTTCTCCCGCGAGGAGGAGCTGGGCTGAGGCTCTCACTTTATCCCTTGAGAGATAAAAGCCACACAGCCCTGTGGGGCCGGAGGGGCCCGCTCAGCCCCACCTCGAGCCACCCCAGCGGGACAAGGCACTGACCGGGCGCGGGGACCCGCAGCACC